GGCAATAAAGTTATCCAGGGGCTCCTAGGGAACATCCGGAGTCCCTAAGTAATTGCATATAGCTGATGTAGAAAAATCAATTAACCTCCCCCGAATAGGCACTGGCTGCTCAGGATCATTCAGATCATAACCGGCGTAAAATTCACGACAAGGTTTACATTAATATACCCAGTGTTTCCAAACACGTAGATCAATGCAAGATTATTAATACCCTTCCAAATTGATTGATACTAAGCTTTTAGACGGCGCTAATAAATAGCCGACTCAGAGTGTATATGTCTCGGCCGACAAAGCATATACCAGTCCTTGGCAGACAGGGGTATACTCTTAAGTCCAAATTCTCACTGTCTCGCAGGCTGTGGGCATAAGGATGCTATAGCTTCAACTGCTTGCAACCCCTCAATATGTCTTGAAGTGGCCTCCCCTCTTTTTTTCTTTTTCAATGGAGGTGCGGAGGAAGCCTTGGCTTTGGTAAGAGTAGTGGCCTTGCCCATTCCTTTACCATTGTCCTTCTTAGGAGGCATATTTGTACCTATACAAATAGACATTAGTCAGCTTTAGAGACATCGAATCAATTCAAAACCTCGTCTTACGACCCCTCACTTAAGAGTTCATTACATGGTTTCACAATTTTTAAGGCTGCTCAAACTTCACCTCGTTATTTTTGCATGAGAATCAATCAGTGGCACAACGATGTCTATTACGATCACGATGCATAAAGCTACCATCTTAGCTCCGGTGAGCCACCCCACACTTAAGATCTCAATGTGTGCATGAAGACATAGCACTAGTATTACAGTCCCAGAGACTCGGGCCCCAATGGGGACAAAGAACGCCTTTGAGGCATTTTAACAAACACTTAGCATGCACTAGTTCCATGGAAATGCTTGTAGGAATTAGGGGTTGCCTCACCCTCCCAAATTGGCTTGGGAATTTTGTGCTACCACCCTTGTACACAACAACAATACTATTTCTATGGGGTTTACGGGGTTAGGACAAACAAGCACATTGTTACTGTGAAGAACATACCCAAAAGTTATCCGATTTCATTACTTCACCCAATTCGAAACTTGACAAAGAAAAGAGTTAGAAACCATACCTTAGATGCTTGGGAGGGGGGTTGCTCTTCAATTTATGTAGCTAGGGAATGAATGAGTGGAGAAATGTATGAATTTAATGGAGTTTGTGAGTGATAGGGGGATTAGGGCTGGTAGTGGTGTTTTTGGGGGATCTTTGGTGTTTTAAGAGAACATGGGTAGGGAAATAGGTTTGTAATGGGCTGGTGTGTATGTGTGCGGTGTTGTAAATCGGTAACGTTTGGTGTTGTAAGAAAGGGGAAATAAGGAGAAAAGAAACGAAATCAAAATAATAAAGAAAATGTAAACTTATCTAGCATCGCGAGTCCAGCAACGAGGACCTTCTCGCGATAGACAACGCGATGCAAGGGAGGCAACGAGAAGTGGACCGGGCTATGTGAAATGGGCAGAGAGCAGGAGACTTGGCGACGCGAAAGAAGCAACACGGATTAGCGTGCTAGGAGCTATACAGTGCGAGATGTGTAGCGCAGAGTATCACGCTAGGAGCTATGTAGCGCGAAGTATAAGTCTAGGAGCTGGGCAACATGAGGTCTGCTTCCAGGTCCATTACACTTTATGTTATGCGGCACGAGGTAGGCAGGGAGGTCTGGAGCGTACTCATGTGCTTTTTATCCCGTTTTGTGAACGACTCCAAGTTTTATGACCTCCCAACGTGCTCCAGTACCTGTTCAAACACCAAAACTTTACTTAAAACTTGTTAGTGCCTAAAAAGAAAAAGAAAATTCTAGTTAAGCTAAAATAAACTACGAATTGGGTTGCCTCCCAACGAGCGCCTCTGTTAACGACACAATATGACGAATACAACATTTCAATGGGTTGCCTTCCACGAAGCGCCTTATTTAACGTCGCAGCACGACGCATTCAATCAAACTCATGGTTTACACAACACTTGAGGCTCCTTCAAATGAATCACCGATACAGCTTTTTCCTCATCCATGCCAAGGTAATGTTTCAACCTTTGCCCATTGACTCTAAACTTTTGAGATCCATCTTCTGATGCAATTTCTACGGCTCTGGCGGGATGCATCTCTACCACATAAAATGGTCTTCACCATCTTGACTACAACTTGCCTGAAAACAACTTCAATCTCAAATTGTATAGCAATACCACATCTCTAGGTTTAAAATTTCGCTCAAGGATATTTTTGTCATGCATCATCTTCATTCTCTCCTTATATAGCCTTGTACTCTCAAAAGCATGGTAACGGAACTCAGCAAGTTGATGCAGCTATGTGACTCTACTCGTTCCAGTGGCCTCCAAGTCAAGATTTAATTGCCTTAACGCCCTAAAGGCTCTATGCTATAACTCCACCGGTAAGTGATGCGCCTTTCCAAACACCAATTTGTATGGTGACATACCAATCAGAGTTTTGAATGCAGTGAGATAGGACCATAGTGCATCATCCAATTTTTGTGCCCAATCAGTCCGAGTAGAATTTATAGTTTTGGTCAAAACACTCTTGATTTCTCTGTTTGACACCTCCACTTGCCCACTTGTTTGTGGGTGATATAGAGTGGCAACCTTATGGCGAACGCCTTATTTCTCCAACAACCTTTCAAAGGCTCGATTGCAGAAGTGGGTGCCTCCATCACTGATGATCGCTCTTGGAGTACCTAATCGGGTGAAGATATTTTTTCTTAGAAAACCAATAGCTCCATTTGCATCATTTGTCGGGAGTTCCACAACTTCTACCCATTTCGATACATAGTCCACAACTACCAGTATGTACATGTTGCCATATGAGCTAACAAATGGTCCCATAAAATCGATTCCTCATACATCAAATACTTTCACCTCTTGAATTGGGTTCATAGGCATCTCATGTCGACGGGGAATATTCCCCGTCCATTGGCACTAATCCACAGCTCTTTTCCCAAAAGTGTGCATCTTTAAACAACGTCGGCCAACAAAAGCTCGACTCCAACACTTTAGCAGTTGTCCTTACTCCTCCAAAATGTCCTCCATAAGGTGAAGCATGACATGCCTGCAAAATAGAATCTTGGTCTATCTCGGGAATACATCTCCAAATCATGTTAACAATACAAATCCTAAACAAATATGGTTCATCCCAGAAATACATGCGACAATCAAGAACGAACTTTTTCTTCTACATAGAGGACAAGTCATAGGGAACAATACCGCTCGCCAGGTAGTTTGCAATATCGACATACCATGGTGCTACCTCAAGGCTCATGGCTAAAAGTTGTTGATCTGGCAAACTCTCCATGATCTCTTCCACCTCAACCCTCTTTTCAGCTCCTTCAAGCCTGGACAAGTGATAGGAAACTTGGTTTTCCATTCCCTTTCGGTCACGGATTTCCAAATTAAACCCTTGCAGTAGTAGCACCTATTGAATCATGTGCGCCTTTGACTCCTTCTTCTCAATTAGGTACCTGAGGGCAGCATGGTCTGTATAAACAACTACCTTCGAGCCTATCAGGTATGACCTGAATTTGTCAAATGCGAACACCACTGCTAGCATCTCTTTCTCTGTCACTGTGTAATTTAGTTGGGCACCACTCAAGGTTGTACTTGCATACAAGATTGGATGCATGGCTTTTTCTTTCCTCTGCCCAATAACTGCTCCCACAGCATGGTCACTTGCATCACACATCACCTTAAAAGGTTGTTCCCAGTCATGAGCCACTATGATTGGTGCAGTCACAAACCTCTTCTTCAACTCCTCAAAAGCTACCTTGTAGTTATCAGAAAACACAAAGGGGTACGGGTTAGAAATTTTGGAAATTTTTTTTATAAACCGCCTGTAGAAACCTGCATGATAAAGAAAACTTCTTATGGCCTCGACGGAAGTAGGTGGAGGTAACTTCTCTATTACATCAACCTTAGCACGTTCCACCTCAATTCCCTTACTCGAAACTAGGTGTCCCAAGACTATACTTTTTTGTACCATGAAATGGCCCTTTTCCCAGTTTAGTACCAGATTAGTCTCCATACACATCTTCAATACTCTTTTCAAGTTCATAAGGCAATCATTTAATGAGTTCCCCACCACTGAGATGTCATCCATGAAAACCTCCATTATATCTTTTACCATATCTGTGAAGATGGCCATCATGCACCTTTAGAATGTGGTGGGTATGTTGCATAGGCCAAATGCCATTCTTCGAAAGGCATAGATGTTATACGGACAAGTGAACGATGTTTTCTCTCTATCCTCCAAGGCAATAAAGATCTTGTTATACCCCGAGTATCCATCCAAGAAACAAAAGTAGGGCCTCCCCATCAATCTATCTAGCATCTGATCAATCAATGGCAGCGGAAAGTGGTCTTTTCGGGTGGCCTTGTTCAATCTTCTGTGATCCATGCAGATTCGCCATCCTATGACTGTTCTTTGCTTTAAGAGAAGCCTTCTAGCTCGTTTTAAAGTGTTGAAGAGAGAGATAGGACATTCTAAAGATAGTTGTTGAGGAAGCATCTGATTTCTAACTACGAGTCCGTTTTCAAGCTAACTGAATGCCTATCTGCTGCTAGTTCTGTTCCACTATCTGCTCTTACTGCTCTCGTTGCCGGTGTGACAGTCTGAGCTTGAGATCATTTCATAGTTCTCATTTTGCAATACAATCATTCTACCCTTCTTTGGCATACACTGAACTAGGCTGACCCAGTTACTGTTAGAGATGGGGAAGATGATTCCCACATTTAACCACTTGATCACTTCTTTCTTCACCACTTCTTTCATGTTGGTGTCGAGCCTTCTTTGATGTTTTTAGAAGGTTTGTGCCCATCTTCCAGTAGAATCTTATGCATACAAAATGTATTGTACTCTTTCAAAACCTGCAAAAGTTGTTCTACCTGTACATCTAACAAACCAGATGAGATAATAACAGGTAATGTCGAGCTAGGTCCCAAGAAAGAATAGTTGAGGTGAGATGTTAACGCCTTTAGCTCCAACAGTGGTAGCTCTTCAATTGATGCTTAGCTGGAGGGGTCTTTCTTTCTTCTAAATGCAAAGGCTCAAATTCGAGCTCTCTTTTCAAGTACCCTTGGTCTTCAAGGTCCAAAACCCACTCCGCTAAGTCCTCACCATCTACCTCTTCTAAGTTCATCAGGCAGGCTGCTAGAGGGTCTTTTGCATTCAGAGCCTCATCTTCCTCCTCCAATATCACATCCACATCTTCGATCAGAGAGTAATTAGCAAACTCACTGGGTCGCCGCATAGACTTCTGCACATTGAATGTTATTTTTTCATCGTTTAGTCTCATATTTAGGTCCCCAGTTTCACAATCAATCAGAGCTCTCCCTGTGGCCAGGAATGGCCTTTCCAAAATTATGGGAATCTCTTCATCAACCTGGCAGTCTAGAATAATAAAATCTGCTGAAAACACAAACTTTCCAACCTGCACAAGTACATCATCAAGTATACCTAATGGCCTCTTCAACTTTTAATCGTCTAGCTGTAGAAACATGGATGTGGGTCTTGCCCTTCCAATGCCTAACCTTTTGTAGATACACAAGGGCATCAAGTTTATGCTCGCCCCTAAATCACACAATGCTTTGGCAAAAGTATAGTTGCCTATGATGCACGGAATTGTGAAACTCCCTGGGTCGGATGGCTTCTCAGCGATAGGTCTTGTCACGACAACACTACAGGTCTGAGTCAGTGTCACAACCGCCAAGTCTTGAAAGTTGAACTTGCGAGACATCAATTCCTTTATCATTTTGGCATAACCGGGCATCTCCCTCAAGGCATCAACCAGTGGAATGTCCACCTGAATCTTCTTCAACATCTCCATGAATCTCTTATACTGCTCATCCTTTTGATATTTGGCCAATCTCCGCGGGAAAAGTGCTGGCGGTCGCTTCTTTCCCGTCACATGAGTTAGATCCTGCTCGGGCACTTTTTCTAATGCCTTCTCTTGCACTTTCTCAGTCTCCTTTGAAACTTCTTACTCTTTGCTTAGTTCCTCCTGACCTGGCTGCACTCTTACTTCTGTTAGCTCAGTTGAATCATCCACCTCAATTGACACTGGAACAAGTATCTCAGTTGGTCGACTTTCGCGAGCAATTTCTTGCTCTAGATCAAGATCTCTACCATTTCTCAGACTCACAGCCATTAGCTGCTTCAGACCCTGCTCTTTCGGATTAACATGTGTGTCTGCCAGTAATGTCCCTTGAGGATGATTGTTAAGGGCCATGGATATTTCCCCTAGTTGAATCTTAATGCCCTTAATAGCTGAGTCATATGATACTACCTTTTTGTGCATCTGGTGTGCCTTTTCTTGCATTTGGTGGACATTTTCTTCCATTTTTCCGCTAGACCAAATGAGTTGTTACAACATTCCTTTAATGTCAAACAACATATCTTTTTGTCGCACTATCTATTGCTTTTGAGGTTGTTGATAAGCTAGTTGTTGATTCTGCTGATTGTACCCTTGTTGCCTTTCATAAGGCACAGCCTGACCCTATGGTCATACAGCTCCAGGATTGTTATTATTATTGTACTGCTACTGTGTTGGCCTATCTTGTTGATTATGTTGTCCCCAAGTCTGAACACATTGTCTTTAGCCTCCGTAGTTGCCGACATAGTTCATATTCTCTTGATAGTTCTGATTGTCACTCTCACCACTCCACGAGCGCATATATGGCTGATTAATGCATGGTGTGCATAATCCTCCATTTGTCGTGTAAACTATATGCACCTACTTCTTGCCTAACTCATCAATCTTTTTGGTTAGGACACTCAATCGCGTCATCATAGTAGCCATATTCTCAGCCATAGAGTTGTTTAGGTATAGAGCTACTGAGTGAACTACATGAGTGATTATAGAGTCTCTTTTCATCCATCTTGAGTTTTGAGCCATATTATCAAGTAAGACCTTACATTCTCTGAATGATTTTCTGAAAAATGCTCCACCTGCTGAAGCATCAACATTGGCTTTCAAGCTGTCTGCCAATCCCATGTAGAACATTTTCCCCAACATCTGATCAGGAATGCCATGGTGTGGGCACTTGAACAACATCACCTTGAATCTCCCCCACGTTTCTTGCAGTGTTTCAGCTGGTTTCTGTCTGAAGCTCAATATCTCATCAACTTGCTTGGCAGTCTTATTGGGTGGGTAGAATTTATTCGAAAACTACTTGACTAATTCCTCCCAAGTAGTGATGTAGTTTATAGGGAGCAAATTGAGCGAAGTCTAAGCTTCTCCCGTCACTGAGAATGGAAACAACAACAATCTTGTTGCTTCCGCTGTCACATTCGGTTGCTTTTCCGTGACACAAATTGATATAAATGTTTTAGATGCTGTTGTTGATATTCAATGTAAGACCCCAAGAACAGTCCTTGTTCAGCAACAAATGTAGCATATTGTTTGTAATTTGAAAAAGTTTCGCTTGTATCGGAGGGACTGCAGTTGCGGTTGCCAGGTTTTTAGTGGTGGGTTGCGCCCAATCATACATGGCTGCTTCTGGCACAAGAGGTGCCACACCCTGATTATTCGGGTCATTCACATTATTTCTGTTGTTTAGGTTGTCTATTACGTCACCCATGTCTAGTTCGATTCATTATGTTGAGTTCTGTTGTCGTTTGTCATTCTTGTTTGATCGATTTAGTGCCTTGAAAGATTTCTCAGGGTCCAGTAATGATTTAAATAATTCACCAATTCTTGATGAGTTTCTAGGCATGCACCTGTAAAACACAAGACTACAAATGTTATAGTTTCAATATAATGGATTTCAAGTCCAGAAAGCTGACTATACTAAGAATTCTAACAATTCTTAGCCATAATTAATAACACTGTTAAGTCCCCGGCAATGGCGCCAATATAATATCGGTTTACAAGTCCGGAGTCGAATCCCACGGGGAATTAACTTACTAATTACAACAACTAGTTTCGCACGAATCATGTAATCAACCTTCAGAAGTATTAAACAACGATTTGAATATTTACTAACTAAGAGCAAAGTAATTCAAATGCAGTAATTTATAACTAACAGAGCAAATGTTGTGGACAAGATTTGGAAAAGTCTAGGGTTATGATTTCCCCTATTGTCAGAATCATCCACGCTGTGTTTCCTATAAATTCGCCTAAGTATTCTCTATTGATCGTGAGTATTTTGGGTGTCGTAATTCTCTACCGAGTAACTACCACAATTTACTAGACGTATTCTTCCAAACTGCGCTAGCTGACACTAATTTACCGCTCACTATGATCGCATCAAGGTTCCGCTATTCCTAATACCACCTTTAAACATTTCGTGAATATTCTCATATACGTTAGGAGTGATGTTGTTCAACAACTACTTAAGTGTGTACCATTTTCCAATCAATACACACTAAATAGGCACAGCCAATTAAGAGCTCTTCAATCAACCACAATAAAAAAGTAGTTGAACAAGTACAGAAAAATCAAAGGCAAATCTATATTAAACCTAGTAGATCCTCCAATAGGTTCCATCAAAACTTAATTTAAAGAGTTTAGCTACTCATAAATGTATCAACATCATCACGATGCTCAAAGACATTAAACTACAAAGTAAAGAGATAAACGGAGGGAATCTCATTTGATTCTTGCTCCACATTGCTTAGTAGCCTTTTTCTTCTCAAAAATAGTCTCCCCCCTCCCCTCTCAACTCATTTGGGGAGTATTTATATGTTAGAGCCGAAATACCTCAATCCAAATCTGGGTTGGAGTCTTTTAACCCGCAACATTAATCACCATGCTATAGACCTTGCGAGGCTAGGCTTATAGCGCGGTCGGCCTGGCTACAGAGTTGGTTACTCTGGGCCTGTAGCGCGGTTAAGCTGTCTATGGAGCTGGCTATTTTTGGTCTGTAGCACGGTAAAGTAGGCTATAGAGCTGGCTATGCTTGGCCTATAGCACAGCTTGGGTACTTGGTGATATTTGTACTCTTTGTTTGCATTTTGTCCTTTTTATCTACAACTTTGATTCGACTCTTTCTTTCTGATGCTCCTACACATAAAAAATACAGTTTAGCTCAAATGCCGCACAATTAATCACTACACCAAAAAAATATAGGGCGAGTAATGTACTAAAAGTATAGGATTTTGGACGAACATCATGTGGCTTGGTTTGATTTTGAATAAAAAAATTCGAACCAAACTGACATAAATATATAATTTTTATATACACTTTTAGAACTTTATATAGAATTTGTTTGTAAAAAATATCAAGAAATATTTATGATTCTCTCATGGTATGAAATATTTAATAGAACTTTAAAGTGCACTCATTTTTACTTACTTTAAATAATTATTAATTTTGGCTTGTATCATCATTGTTTTTATCAAGTGTTATTGATGCATCAATCGTTTTGTTCTTTCATATTCATATATCAAGATCTATTAACCTCGTTCATCTTTTTCATATTTAAAATAGTATTTTAATGATAATTTTTAAAATTAAATAGAACATATTATTATTTAGGTTTTATATTTATGCTTGTATTTAATTATTAAAATTTGGTTAAGCTTGAAAGTGTACATCAACGAAAAATTAGTGTTAGACTAAGAAAATAACTTCACGTGTTAGTAAAAAAAGCTCTCCCATAAGGGTAAAAAAAAAAAACAAAGTTAGTTACCAAAAAATAAAACTCTCATAAGAATATTTTAATAGATCATATGTTTGTCAAATCTTTTAATTTTTATTAAACATATATTCACTTATCAAAACATTTTCTATAACTCCAACAAAGAAGATTGATACTATATTCATGTAACAAAAAAAAAAAAAAAAAAAAAAGAAAACCCCCCAATAAAAAACCAATAAAATCGAACAAAACAAACCGATATAGTTGGTTTAATTTGGTTTAGACAAAAATCAAACTAACCCGACTCATGTACACCCTTACTCAGTATATCATAACGAGCATTGATCGTTTAAAAATGTATATGCTAAAAGGGTTTAGAGTATCGAAGCAGTTTTACGCATTGTTAAAGGGAAAGATGAGCAAAGTTTTATCAGAAGTGCTATTTCATATCAAAAGTATTTCCTACCAATAGTACCGGACCGATCAATTTTATTGATTATTATTCTAATTTCGTTTAATACAGTAATTGAGATGACTAACTATAACTTAAAAATGGTATTTCTCTCCTGATAATATTAAAATGTACACAATAAAAGTGATATGAAGAAAGTTTCTTTTGTTCTGTATTAATTTATCATCAACCATTTGTGGTTTCAATAGTATTATAGAACATCTTCGATCTCTACGTATTTTGTAAATTAAGGATCTCTTGTGCTTGCACTCGAGTATTGTAGACTACAAGTTAAAAATAAATGATAGGTTATATAACCTTGTTATGTTTTGATAATGTAACAAACTTAATAATAAGAGCCCGATAAGGAACCTGTTACACATCCTCAAATACTTAACAACAACAAGTCTCAAGTCATGGACGTGGTTCAACTCTTCAAAGTCAATGGAACAACAGAGGGAACAGATGGCCACTAGTTCCTGTCACGACCCAATCCCCGGTCGTGATGGCGCCCAACCTATTGCGGGGCAAGCCCGACCTTTCAACAATATTTCCCACATTGGATGGTTCATAATTTCAAAGCACTGATATTAATGAAAAAGCCATTTTTATCAAAAATTTAGGGATACTGAACAATACGCGGAAGTTTAACAAAATAATGAAAACATAAATCCCAAACTAGGACCCGGTGTCACGAACATGAGCCTCTAATACAGAGTTCCCACCTAATACAGTCTGTCTAGGATAAAATGCGGAATGCAAGAGAATAAAGAGAGGAGGGAGAGACGAAGGCTG